TTCCTATTTACCCCTAAAGGGGTGGGTCTAACTCAATAAGAGAAATACCGATATGGATAGTATTGATGCAATAAGAATGGAAATACTGTACTAAAATATTGCATAAAAAGATGATCTAAACTATCAAGGGGTCATATCTTTCGATTATCCGTATCATCTTAACCATACCTAACCATAAATATTGGTACCAAGTGGACCCAGTAGGAGTGGAGTGGGGCCAAGTAATAAAGTTGAGTGAATGAATGAATGATGAATGAATATGTTTACCAGTTTACCACCCCCAAAAATAATCTAAATCTAACCTTTCCCCATCCATCCATCCCATCATTCACTCACTGTCGCTGTTTTGGGGGACAACCCGTCACAATCCCCAATTTCTTCATTCCATTCCATCTCCATCCCCCATTTTATCCACAAACCTTCCCATCATCTTTCATCCGAAAGTTAACATTTACCACCCATTACCACTTTACAACATTCTCCTTGTTTCTTTTATTATCTTTCTATTTGTTGTCCTTCTTTTTCTACTACTTTTTTTTATTGATTCTTGCATCTCCTCAATTCGCCCGTGAAACAGAAAAGCATTCCTCTCTTCATTCCTCTCCTAGAAACTTCCGCAGCTGCAGCAACCGAACCAATTCAACCCACAAGGAGAAGAAGTTGGTTTCAGCATACATAATAGGATATACTCGTTGAGGTTGGCAGATGATTCTCTTCTTGAATTTCAATCATCATCAAAATTATTCACCAGCTTATCATACAATGTTCGAATAGAATTTTAAAAGGGCGTCAACAAGAACTCACGGTAAAAGTGTATTCTGCCTGGACGTGAAAGAGAGAGAGAGAGAGAAGAGAGAGAGAGAGACGGAAGATCGATCCACCTACACCAATTTCTGGCCGCGGGCGACCTCCTTCTTCCATTCAGAAATCAAACCCTTTTCACACCCTCTTAAAATTAAGAAGAAAACTAGTCAACCGTTAACTCGTCTTGGCTTTCATCTTTCAAACCAACAACTCTCGTAATAATTGTTCATTTGTCTATCAACTTCATCAGACTTCCAGTGTTACTTGAAGGTTCGTAGACGCTAGTTCACCCAATCTCCCTACAACCACAACAACGCGCGTGTAACAACGTTCCAACTAGAGCAACTTGTACCTCATCTCCACATACGAATGGTAATAATTTCTGTTGCTAACTATCTATCTACTCATCACAGTCATTTCCATCCTCCACTCAATTGAAAATTATATTGAGTACGACCCTTTTATGTAGATGGCATAATAGCTGTTTGCTTTACAACAACTCGAAAGTAGCCAAGTCACAGCATGGCAGCTCTCGTTCAGACATTACCGCAACAGACAACCACGGTCACTATGCTTCAAACTCGACCATCCTCTGCCTCTGGCCCCCTACAACCTTCGCAGAATCAAGCTTCATATCACCAGTATCCCGTCAGCCAACAACCCCGAAATACCTTTCATGGCTTGAACAACAACAATATGGCAACGTCAAATTACCGTGGTCATAATTCCATGGCCCCAATTGCACCATATGCATTCACTAGCACATCCGGTCCATCGATAGGAGGTCAACAAATACAGAATGGATCTCAGTCAAGACCGGAGCAGCAGAGAACATCGTCAGCCCCCATAGTTCCCACAATTCAAGGAGGCTCAGGTAATCCTCCAAATCGATCACGCTACCCTGCCGCCCTCTCGGTGTCAACTACATCCTCATCTTCATCGTCGGAGCTCTCTCAAAGATCAGGCACAAAAGATGATTCGGCCATCGCCTCTACAGCTCGAGTTGCCACCAGGGCTCCTCGACCGAATTCCACCATTATCACATCATACAGTCAAAGTCTAGCTCCTCCTTTGGCTTCACCAGCAAAACCTACCCCTGATCGCTATCGTCGTCCTGCCGTTCGCCGTGCCGAGTCCTCGAACACCTCGAGCAGTAGTCAGGCCAGTGGTCCTAGCTCCTCGGCCTCAATCATGCCAAATGTCATGCAATTTTATGGCGCCAGTACTCAAGCTGTCAATACCCAGGCATTCAACTTACAGATGCCACAACCACAAAATCAACCAAGTGCAACCGCTGATGATATGCAATTGAATCAGCGTACTACATCGGAGCAGGCAAAGAGATATCGACGTCGGAGCATACATACAATCGATGCACACGAAAATAGCAACACTAGTCCAAGTCCTGGATTTTTACTGCAGGGGTCGAGGCAGGTGAGCAGCGCTAGTGGTCGTATTGATCAGCAGCCCGAGCAACACGGACAACACCCCTTGCGAAGTTCACCAGTCGTAACAGTACGGCCAGCAACTTCTCACGGACGGAACGATAGCACCGATAGTTTGAAATCTACACGCAGCGGTCATTCACGCCCGAATTCGGTAAGTGCTTGAACTCATTTTATTTGTATCAAGTCCTTAGTACTCCTTACCCACTCACTCTCCCCCCACTCATGGTTCACGGGACTTTATCGTGCATACGGCGTCACCGCAATTTAATCCTCACCAATCACAGCATCGTAGCACCGAAATCGGCAGCACACTAACTTATTCTAGTCGGACAAGCGAGAAGCAACAAGTGTATCGATGGCAACTTCAAGCCCCGCTCAATCTTCGACTTCTACCGTCGCAAATTCAAATACCTCAAATGTTAAAGGCCAAGCGATTTCCAAGAATGATCAGCCACGACTTGTGAACATTCCAGTTCGTGGATCCTCGACCGATGCCGCGAAACGGCTTTCCAGTCCCTCTCCTTTATCGAAGCCGGTGACGATGGGTACCGAGTCCTCGGCGTCCAAGTCTAAGGACTCGTTTGCTTCAGCGGTCAATGCAGCGTTGCAACCAGCACAACCTAAATCTCCATATGCACAAGCTGCAACGAGCCCAAATGCTACCAGCCCTGCTGCACAGCAATTGGCTGCGTTGAATGAAAAGGAAGGAAAAAAGAGCAAGACATCGAGATTGAGAAGGGCATTTTCTTTTGGATCAGCGGCTGAGTTACGGAAGGCGTCTGCAGAAAATCATCTTGCAAGTAGAAGTGGGAATGATATTTTGGATCGTTCCAAGTTACGAAGAGAAAAATACCAACATGAGCAAGAAGCAGAGCAAGATAAGATTGCCCAGCAACAAGAAGCTGCTGGTATCGGATCCAATATCTACTCCGGTCAAGGCAATTTCTTCACTGGTTCAACCGATAACTTATCTATCTCTTCGACTGCCTCATCGGCGTCTGTAATGATCAGAAAAATGGGCAAGGGCATGAAGAAATCGACGAGATCTCTCGTTGGTCTTTTCAGACCCAAGTCTGTTATTGGTGTCCCCGCAGCTGATGCAGCTGTGCCTGAAGTCAGCCAAGCCCAAGTCTCGATGGTTAACGTTGAAGCCGAAAGGGAGAAGGTCAATGTAAACGCGAATGCGGCCGACGCCGCTTCTGGTGGCACAGGCTTTCCGAGACTCGAGAGAAATTCTCTTGACGCTGCCGCCACGGTTACCGATCGTCTAGGGAGTGCTAACACCGAGAATTCCGCAAACAGAAGAAGCATTGTCGGTGGTGAAAAGGAGCGTGCTGAAGTCTTGGCCGCTGTCAAGAAGGGTATCCTGAAACGTAAGTTGCCCATATCTATCTCTATTGTAGTTTTACTAATCTTGACGATCGCAGGCTCTGGTACAGGTTCTGGAAACTCGTCGCCTGTTATCCTTCCTGCCGATGTAAAGTCAGCAAACTTCAGTTTGCCACAAATTCCCAATGTTAATAACGACTCCCCCAATTCTACGGCCCCAAGTACACCGAACGATGACCAAGTTCACAAGCAGGCGGTCACGTTGGGAGGAGAGGATTATTTTATGTCGGCACTCAAATTCAGGGGAGATTCCAAGAGTGTTCCTGGAACACCTTCTGGTGCCACCAAAAGGAACGCTACATTCAGTCCACGAATACAGTTTCACGATACGTGGCCCAGCCAAGAGTACGACCGCAGGGGCGAAATTGCAACCTGCAACCGGCTCACCCCAATGCTCGCCCAACAAATCAAGGAAGAGCTTAACACTTTCAAAATGGTATGTTCTTCATTTTATGATTCCTTGAGTACACGCTGACCAATAACAGGAAATGGAGGTTCATGAGAATTCTAAGATCTACACACATTTCTTTTAATGAAACCACGATTATTCTGTTTGTTCAAAAATAAGTTACGAAACTTACAAAGCTCCTCTGCTACTGCAGGAAACTGTGTAGTTACGCATACACCCAAAGACTTTCAAGGCGTTTCACGGTCTTCCCGCATTATTGGTGTACAGGAGTTCATTCACATCTGAGCGATTTGGTCGAAAACAATATTATTTCATAGACTGGCGTCGGCCATCTCTTTTCGAGCATAAATGTTGAAGAAGATGAGGGAGGACATATTAGGGCTACTAGGGGGGCGACGTAGAAACTTGGGAAATGAGAGATGTTGTGCTGTGAAGCTTTCCGAGGCTGTGAAAGAAAGAGAGAGTCTCAATTGTCCGATCGGCTGGTAATTTGTTTCTCCTAGCTACCAAGGATGATGGTATAACTCGTACTCAAAAGTTTCGATCTCGGTTGGTTTCTGCGGGTTTGTTTGATCTCTAGGCTTTTGAGATCTTCACTTCGGGCAATGTCATGGTCTAATTTTCGTTTCCTTCTTTGGTCGGTCCGGTCTACTTTATATTCGTCGTCACTTCATCGTCGTACTTCAGCGTCTGTTATTATGTTTGAGAAAGGGGGAAAGATAGGAGAGAAATGGGGGAAAGGCATATTCTACGTAATCAAAATGATACAATACAAGCAATGGTTGTCGTTTACAAAGTCTAGAGTGAATTTGCAAGTGAGTATGAACCATCTATGAAATGTCAGACATCAGATATAATATAAGCAATAGTCGCCATTGAGAAAGTCTAGAAGGAAATTGCAAGTGAGTATAGTATAGAGTATCCATGAAAAGTCAGACATCTGAATAAGTAGAGATTCTAGATCGTCCACGCGTCTTAAAATGGAATTCTGAAATGGAATTCTAGACAATGATTGCCCACATCAATATAAAAGCTTGGATACAATACTGATCCTGAAAGAGAGTCTGGATCAATTAGATCTATTGAAAACTTGGTCTGTCCGGCAGTTAAGGAGTCTTCTCATGACATCTCAAGCTTTGATGTGGGTTCATCCCATGAAATCTAGTTTCAGTGGGCCAGAAGAGTAACTCGTCAAACAATGACCTTGCAGTAAAAATTAAAGAGATAGCCTCGTCTTGGCAGGTAGCCTTGCCTTATTAAACTTCCCCCCGCTAAGACTTTTTGTCAAAACAATTCAAAACCAGTCTTTCCACTACTCGAGTATGTCTACTACGCATTGATCACTGCATTCCTTGGTCGATCTAATATAATAGTGGCTACTATCATAAATCGCATTCATTCAGGGTCGAGGGCTGGTACCCGCCAATTCTTACTACTCCAAATTCGAGGAATTATGACAATTTCAAACGATTTCCCAACCGTCGTGGAAGCGCATCCAGGATCCATTATGTCTGAGAAGAATACCAATGGTTCTGGCAACTTGTCCAAGAAACTGCATGGTCGTGCCTTTTATCAAAGTATCGGCAGTCCCAAGTTTGTTCTCGCCCCCATGGTTGATCAATCCGAATTCGTAAGTTGACGAGCCACCCATTACAAGACTGTTCTTATATCCCTCCCACGCTAATTGCTCTTCCCTTCAGGCCTGGCGCATGCTTTCTCGCTCGTTCATGTCCCCAGAATCAAACAAATCTCTCCTAGCATACACGCCCATGCTTCACGCGCGCATGTTTTCCGAGACTCCCAAGTTCCGCGATGCGCATTTTCAACCGCTGAAAAGCTCGCTCGTTTCTCAACTGAATTCGCCATCACTTACGTGTAGTGATGAGCTATTTCTTGATGGAAACCCTGGGATCGATAGGCCTCTTTTTGTACAATTCTGCGCGAATGACGAGAAGGACTTACTCGAGAGTGCGAAATATGTAGCGCCGTTTTGTGATGCGGTGGATCTAAATCTGGGTTGTCCCCAGGGGATTGCGAGGAGAGGGAAATATGGGGCTTTTTTGCAAGAGGATCAGGGACTTATTTTTAAGTTGATTAATACTTTGCATAAGGAGTTGGATGTGCCTGTTACGGCAAAGATTAGGATGCTGGAAACGAAGGAGAAGACGTTGGAATATGCAAAGATGGTGGTGAGTGCTGGAGCCAGTATTTTGACGGTACATGGGAGGACGAGGGATATGAAGGGCCATAAGACAGGGTTGGCGGATTGGGGGGTGCTGAGGTTTTTGAGGGAGAATTTACCAAAGGAGGTTGTTCTTTTTGCGAACGGAAATATCTTAGCAAGAGAAGATATCGATGAGTGTTTGAAAGCGACTGGTGCGGATGGGGTGATGAGTGCGGAGGGCAATTTGTATGATCCGACAATCTTCTCGGACGCGCCGGCCGTAGGTGAGGAAGGAAGAGAATACTGGAGGAGTCTGGATGAGAAGATGGGAGGTTGGAGAATGGATGCTGTGTTGAGGAGATATATGGACATTATTCACAAGTACGTTTTGCAGGTGTCGCCTCCTGCACGCAAACCCCTCTTTATATCCTCAGACCTGGTAGAAGATTTAAATGAAGAGGTGGAGGAGGAAGAGGAAGAGGGACCTCCGAAAAAGAAACAAAAGGGAGAAAAGAAGGAAAAAGCGACGAGCCCAAATTTGGTCGCCATGCAGGCGCATTGTTTCAAACTGCTTAGATCACTTGTTTCAAAACATCATGGGATTAGAGATGCATTGGCAAAATGCAGAACAGGGGATATACAAGCATTCGAAGACGTCCTGCAAATGACGGAGAAAGCTGTCAAGCAGGGTATCATAGAATATGAGAGGACGAATGGGGAAAGTTACCGAGAAGAAGTTGAGAAAGCGGAGAAAGAAAGAGAGGAGAAGATGAAGGGGGGAGGAAAAGGTGCCTGTGAGAGGGATGGGTTCGAGGGAGGTGGTGAAATCAAAGCGGGGGAGGAACTTGCGTTTGAGGAGAGCTCGTTGGAAATGGTTAGGAGGTGTAAGAGGCCTTGGTGGGTGGTGCAGCCTTATGTTCGCCTGTTACCGAAAGAGGCGCTGGCGAATGGGAGCTTGACTTTGAGCAGGAAGGAGAGAGGTGGGAAGGGGAAGGGGAAGGGAAAAGGAGAGGCTAATGGGGAGAAGGGGACCAACGAGGTTGGAGCTGAGGAGGAGGGAAAGGTGGATGTACTGGTTCTGGGTGATCAGGAGGGAAGCAAGGCAGAGCAGGAAATAGTCGAGGTTCCAAAAGATGGCTTAGTTTGTGGATGATTTTCATTTATTTGACAGACTAGACTACTAGACTTGCTTGGATCGACGCAGCATAGCATGTTTCTATAAGCATGTATACGCGTGACGACTTGCATATTGACTTAACTACTTAGAGATTGATCGAACAGTGGATGGATGGATACATAGAATGGAATAGGGAAGAGAAGAAATCAAGTGCTGATCTTCTTTCTACTTTTGATATATCAATCACTTGCCTTGCCTTGCTTCTCTCGGTAAATAAGTAAATGGATACCCCTTTTCTTAACAGTCGGCTCTCCATGGAACGGCCGCCTGGGAACATTAAGTGGATTGGTTAGGTTGTGGAGATGTGTTGTGTCTGTATGTATATCATCTTATCTTGTTGTTTTAGAGTGATGGAGTGATGGAGTGGTGGATAACTTGTATTGTCTATTCTATATGTACATGTACATGATAAAAAATTTGGGGTTTGCATGGTGGGTGGATAGATGGGTATGTGATGCCGGTTTGTTTTCTATATGCGAAGTTTGATGTTGGAGATATTTGTGTCAGGAGGATGGAAGTAGAAGTACTGAGAGTAGAGTGGGTTTGGTGACGGAGAAGGAATTGTTGGGGAGAGGAGGGAAGGGGGGAGTGGGGTTTGAGTTGTGGTAGACAGATGTGGGTACAGTTGGTGGTTGATTTTGGTTTCCCCTCATCTCAGGCCTTTTGGACAGTTTCCAACGGATTTGATTTTGAGAATAGTGATGATATTTCTGATCCGTGGCTAAATTAGAATATTGCATCCGCAGTCTATGTAACAGTAACAGTACCCTTATCACTACTTCTCTCCGCCACATATGTCCTCAAAGTTTACTCAATTTGCCACTCTTTTCCTTCTTTGCACTATCCATCCTTGTCCCTTCATCATCCTGTTCCTCGACGCTCAAATCAGGAAACTTCGCCGGCATAATCCTTCTCGGCGTGGTCCCAGGAACCAAAGCATATTTACTAAAATCCACCACCCCATCATGATTTCTCAGATAATCCTCATCCAATATCAAAAGTCCGTTTACATCTTCAACCGGGGCCTTCAATATCGACAACACAGCATCAGAAAAGATAGACGGATGCCTCAGATCTTCTGGCGGCGAAGAAAAATGCGCTGTTGCAGCTGATTCAACTGCACTTGCGGGCCACAATCCCGTAACTGCCATTCCTTTCCCTTCTTTCCCCATTCTGGCAAAGTCCATTCCTAGTCCCTGGACTAAAACACTCATCCCCACTTTTCCCATTGCATATGCGGTTTTTCCGCGGAAAAACCGACTGTAGATCGGGGGACATATGACTACAATCCTTGCATTCCAATTTTGACTTTTCCAAGCAGGGATGCAGGATTGGATGGATGCGTAGAGACCGTTCGGATTTACGGATTCCATTAACATGTAGCGGGAAAGAGGGGTGGTGAGGACAGAGGAATGGTAGATGGCGCCGGAATTGTAGATGAGGACGTCGATGCGTCCATAGATTGAGATGGTTTGGGTGATGAGGGAAGAGATGCTGGTGTGATCGCGGACGTCGCAGGGAATGGCGACGGCTGTCCCGCCAGATTCAAGGATCTCGCGGCAGACGGTGGAGATGGTTGAGCTGGAGGAGTTGGGGTCTGGGGGGAAGGGTTGGGTTTGAGAGGCGTCACTGACGGATTTGGCGGATACAATTACTGGGTGTATTTATTAGTGAAGGTTGTGAGGGGTGGGAGAGTTATGGGTGATGTATATGTATGTACCTGCATAACCATTCTTAGCAAGATCAACTGCAATTTGTCGGCCAATGCCTCGAGATGCGCCGATTACGAGAGCTACTTTTTGAGATATCATGTTGGATTTTGGGTTCTAGGTGTAGATTGAAAGAGTATCATCGTAACCCATTGATATATGTTGTTCGAAAGTACAAATCTCGGACTTTGTGTGAAGAAGTGAGGCTTATTAGTGATCAAGAAAGCGAGGTTTGTTTGTAGTGAGGGTTGATGCAAATGTCCGAGTACATAATGTTTAGTGATCAAGGGGGGTTTCGGAGTCGAGCTTGAGCCGAGGTACCGGATATACCTAGTAGACAACCTCCACTTGTATGTATTATGATATCCCGAAAAGGACGACATTCCTTCAATTGGTACCGTAAGTTTCATACATACTCATCATGCCAGGTCATATAGATTGTTATCTTGATTGCTGTAAGTATACTCGTACTATCATCTATCCCCAAGAGCTTTCCCCATGTTCCCGCAATATCAGATTATTAACCTCGATGCCAAAGCTTCATTTTACAGCTACGCAGCTCTAGTACATCTTCGAAAGAATCGAGAGATTCTTCTTTCTCATGATGTTACTGTAAAGTAAGTCCTCCTATATTATCATTGATCTCAGGTTCTTACATAATACCATGAAATAGTTTCATCCCCGTCTTCCTCGGCGGCATCAATCACGGCTCGGGAAATAAACCCCCTTGGACTCTTCCCGCCAAAGCCAAGTACAGCAAATTCGATAGTGCTCGTACGATATTATACCATGGACTTCCGAACCTCCAACCCTCGGAGTTTTTTCCACCTGTGACTCTTTTTGTATGTGTTCTCTTTTGTTCTTTCCATCCATCGCATGTAGCTGACCATTATATTTGTAGCCCCAAAGAGCACTCTGTCTCATCAAATCCCGCTATCCTCAAGACATTTTTGAGAAAACATGGCAATGTATATTCGATGCTTTATGGGTGCCACCACAGAAAAACATCACGATTCCTGAGCAATTCCGGGAGTTCTTGAATGGGCTGGATTCGTTTGATGAGAAACAGGTGGAGGAGATTATGGAAAAAGCGACGGAGAAGGAGTGGAAGGATACATTGATGGCGAATACGAAAGATGCGTTGGATAAGGGTGCTTTTGGGGCACCGTGGTTGTGGGTGAGGAATGGAGAGGGGAAGGAAGAACCGTTTTTTGGGAGTGATAGGTTTCATTTCATTTGGAGATTTTTGGGGGTGGAGTTTAGGGATGTGGAGATTGTTGAGAAGGGGGAGAAGGGGGAGAAGGGGGAGAAGGGGGAGAAGGCGAGATTGTGAGGTTTGGGGATATGATGGATGGAGTTTGAGGATGTGAAGATCATCTTGTTGAGAAAGGGAGAATGTGAGGTTGTGAGGTTTGGGGATTTGATGGATGGAGTTTGAGGATATGGAATCAGTTGAGAGGGGGAAGAACGCGAGGTTATGAATTTGGGGATATGATGGATGGAGTTCGAGGATGCGAAGATTGTTTTGTCTAAAAGAAGGAGAATTCGAAGTTGTGAGGGGTGTGTGTTTAATGGATGGCTATCTACTCGAGTCTCTACTCTTGAGTATAAGCTGTTGTCTACACGTCAATGGCAATAGAAGAAGAGATTGGAGACTTCAACAAGCTGATATTCCAGGATCTAAAGATCTATCAAGTCTGTAATGAAACACAGTAAATATTGCTTGATGGTATTTCCAAGCCAAAAAAAACTACCACAATGCTAGCACCAAAGAGGGAGAAGATAATGTGGAGCCATCACTCCTAATTCGATATGATTGTTCTCCTTTAATCACGTGACTATAAACGCGAGATACTCACGTTTCCCCCATACTTTCTATACTGAGGGGTCCAAAAAAGGTACCAGGCTTTAATCGAGATAAGCTTTTAAGCCGCATGGGAGCTATATAAAGGTCGACAGTAAGTATCAAACCTTTTTTCTCTCACAAAAAAAAGTTCATTCTTTTTTTCAAATGTATTTTTTATCTATTTTTGAAGATGTAGATGAACTCATAGATATCTCATTTTGAAGCAAGCAATAGAGAAGTACTAGGTATTTCTTTTTATACATCTTTCAATTGATGTTTTGTTTAATGTTTTTGAATTGATTGAGAAAGTTCCAATTCAATCAAGTTGGTTGATCAAAAATGGATCCTTTAGATGATTTTACTTTAAATGGTTGCCTGCAACTCACCACTCACTAGCTTAGTAAGTAAGGTAAGCAAGCCAAGCTAAGCGACCCGCCGGGAAATCCAGGCAGATCAAAACGCGCTTGTGAGAAATCAGCTTTCCCCCAATATCAACATTGATACAAATATCAATTCATTCATCATGATTTCATGCGAATAACTTCACAGAATAACACAATTCATCCTTCGCTAATCTTCTCTATATTGATTCCTTCATTTCAACGAAGAAAAATCTATTTTGTTCTTCAACATAAACTGAGCATCGCTCCCACTTTATTCACAGCAGCGCGCGAAACTTATCAATGTTTTAACAAACAGTGAATTTTCGACGAATCATCATCGCTTTGAGCTTTTTCTCTGCGACTTAAATCTCGAAGCTTCATCTAATACCGACTCCTCGCAATGCCAGCAAGAAATCGCAGATTGGAATATTTCGACCCTAATAAATCCGACTCTAACGACGACGATTTCTCCCCTACCGAAGTCGTTTCACGAAAGAGTCCAAAAAAGTCAAGGCCATCGTCACGAAAGAAAGTAGCTCCGCGAAAAAAGAGTAAATACAAGGATTCGGATGTGGATGAGGACGAGGATGATGAAAGTGGACTAGAAGAATCATCCGCAGAATCCGAAGAAGAGGAAGAAGATATCGAAATGAACGAGAAGACTGGAAGAGCGGTGCGAAAAGCCGCGAAGAAAGCTGTCACTTATGAAGAGAATAGTGATAGTGATGTCGCAGACTTATTGGAAGAAATTGAACAGGAGGTACGTCCGACGAGGTCAAATAAGCGAACACGCGTGCTAGACAAGGAAGACGAGGATGAAGATGAAATCGCAGAACCCATTTCGAAGCGCAATAGGGCGACGGAAAAGAAACAATTTATGGTGACACTTAAGATGCCAACTGGGACTACACCGGATCGAAAAACAAGGGCTGGCAGCACTGCAAAAGCTCGAGCAAGCGCCGAACCTACATCCCTGGGCCTCAGAAGAAGCACGCGCGCCCGTACTGAGGAAGGTGAAGAGTTCACTTCATTATCAAATTCCGGCAAACACATCATTCGACCTTCGAGATCTCCAGAACCGATCGGTCGATTGAGAGCCACTAGAGGAACGAAAGGCCTCAAACAACCTGCTGCTTCCACTATCAAAGAAGAGGCACAAGAGACGAGCTCATACGAAGATGCCCAACAAGATGCTGAAGGCGAAGACGATATTGTAATACAGCCTGAGATAATTGGAACAGATGATGGGGAGGACGATAACACTGAGCCATTCAACCTCCCTGCCAGTGTGCCCGCCGATGAAGATATGGTAGACGAACTCGCAGTTGACGAAGAAGCCCCGGCAAAAAAGGCAGTCGGTCATGATGACGATGACGACGAACCAGTCGCGAGAACTCGCACTAGAGGCTCTAGAACAAGCAACGCGGGCCAAGATGCACCAGGAACTGTAGATACCACCGAGAATTCAGCTGCTGGTTCTCGACGCCTAAGAACTGGAGGTTCGGGGAAGAATAAAGATGATGGCAGTGACTTTACACCTGAGGGCGAAGGCTCCGAGGAAGAGATGACGGCATCTGATGCCTCGCCGAAGAAAGGTGGGGACGAAGATGGCGATTATTCGAGCTCGTCTAGACCTGGAAGAAATGCAAGACAAGCGAAGTCAAAGAGCACGTCACGAAGACGTGCGGATGTATCAGACGGGGAAGAAGACTTAGATCCGGAAGAAATGGCAGATGAGCTCCAAGAACTTAGACCATCTCGACGACGACGAAATCGCGAACCGGAAACTGTGTATGAGCCCAAAGGTCGCCGTGAACGGAAGCAAGTCGACTACAAAATGATGCCAATGGATCAAATATACGCCCAAGATGATGATATAGAAGATCAAGCACCGAAACCTTCCCGTAGGAGTCGTGGCGGTCGTAGTGGTGCAAACAAACCATGGGAAAGCGTTTTATATACAACATATGCTCCTTTTGGTGGCGGACTTGGGCCAGCTCCGCTTATTGGTGGTCCTTGGGGTACCGGTGCTACTGCGGGCGTTGATTCAGATGATAGCGATGACGAGAACATGCAACTTCCAGTTGCTCCTGGCATTGGTATGATACCTACCTCTGCAACCATGGCAAAAATGCCTGGATTGCTCCCGCCCATGCCGCAAGCAAATCAACTCGACCAAGCGCCAACTGGTGTGCAACTGGGAAAATTCAAAAGCCAGAAAGCTCTCGCAGATGCAGACCCTCTTGGTGTCGATCAAGATGTTGATTTCACCAAAGTCGGCGGACTCGAAGGGCACATTGAACAGCTTAAAGAGATGGTCCAAATACCTCTATTGTACCCCGAACTCTTCCAGAAGTTCAATGTAACGCCTCCACGTGGTGTACTATTCCATGGGCCCCCTGGTACTGGTAAAACTCTTTTGGCGAGAGCTCTAGCAGCTACTACGGGTACAGGCGGTCGCAAAGTCACTTTCTACATGCGAAAAGGTGCTGATGCTTTGAGTAAATGGATCGGTGAGGCCGAGAAACAGCTTCGATTGTTGTTTGAACAGGCGAGAAACACACAACCAAGTATCATCTTTTTTGATGAAATCGATGGTCTTGCCCCTGTTCGATCAAGTAAGCAAGAGCAAATTCATGCTTCTATTGTTTCCACGCTATTGGCACTCATGGATGGCATGGATGGTCGAGGACAAGTCATTGTCATTGGAGCAACAAACAGACCCGATAACATTGATCCAGCCTTGAGGAGACCCGGTCGATTTGATCGAGAATTTTATTTTCCATTGCCTGATATCGAGGGTCGAAGATCTATTCTCAACATTCATACCAAGGATTGGGGCATCGATGATGTATTCAAGCAAACTTTGGCACACGCTACAAAGGGATATGGTGGTGCTGATATTCGTGCTCTGTGCACAGAAGCTGCTCTCAATTCCCTGCAGCGCACATATCCTCAAATCTATTCTTGTAATGATAAGCTCATTGTGGACCCCCAGAAAATCAAGGTTACGGCTAAAGATTTCATGCTCTCGATCAAGAAGATGGTACCATCATCCGAACGTTCGACATCTTCAGGGGCAAAGGCATTGCCGAAGGCTGTCGAACCTCTCCTTCGAGATCAACTTAAGTTGATTGAAGATATCGTGGACAACCTAATACCCATTAAGAAGAAGACGACTGCCTTGCAAGAAGCAATGTATGAACAATACGAAGATGAGGATCAAGGCTTTGGCCGAGAAACAATGCAGCATGATTTCGAGAACTCGCGAGTGTTCCGTCCAAGATTACTTATTGGTGGGGAGCCTGGCATGGGTCAAGCGTATCTTGGCGGTGCTTTGTTAAATCATTTCGAGGGACTACATGTCCAGAGTTTCGATCTTCCAACTATATACATGGATTCTGCTAGGGTTCGTGCTTCCAATCGTTTCCAGCTTGATTCATATACTGATGTAAAATTAGATCGCGGAGACAGCTATCGTTGAATTATTTGCAGAAGTTAAACGCCACAAACCAAGCGTTATATACCTGCCGGCAATTGATACTTGGTATCATACTCTTCCACAGAACGTGATAACCACGTTCCTCGGCCTTCTCAAAGCTATTCCTCCTACAGATCCTGTTTTAGTGCTCGGCATAACAGACGTCAATCCGGATAAGGTGAATCCGCAAATGCTGCGGGATATCTTTGGCTTCTCAAGACACAACCGATTCACCATCAAACGACCAACGCGGGTAAGCAGCATTCAATTCGCTGTGTGATTTCAATTAATTAATACATTCTAGGAACTCCGCGAAGAATTCTTTCAAACCATCATTTCGTACGTCAAAAAAGCGCCAAATGAGTTCCCAGATCCAGTCAATCGTAAAAGGCGTAAGCTAGAAACCCTTGAGTTGGCTCCACCATTACCGGAAAGATTACCCACCAAAGAGCAAATCAAGGCACAAAAGAAACAAGATCGCCTGCTTTTGAATCAACTGAAAATGTCGATTCAACCTATTATGGATCAAATACACAAAACGTATAAAAAGTTTCGGCAACCTGTCCTTCAGCAAAGCCAGTATCAATACCTCTTGGACGAAAAAGATCCAAACTTTGTCAGCCCAGATATACCTCAGTTCCGACCATTTGAGCTAGATGTTGACAAGAACGGAGTCCAATGTCTTCGTGAAACAGCGACCGGAAAGATTTGCTACAACTTAGATACTAACACGATTGAGGAGCGGCTAGTCAATGGTTTCTATGCTCGACACAAAGATTTTTTTGCCGATATCAGAACTCTAGCCAAAGATGCCAAACATTTTGGTGACAAAGATCGCGAGCTCAGGGCTAAGCAATTGGTTGCTAATGTTGAAGTTGACCTTGACCCGATGGAAAGGGATCCTAAGTTTGCCGATTGCGAAAACTTATACCTTCGACAGTTACAACGAGCTAAGGAAGCGGAAGAGAAAAGTCGAAAGAAGACTCAAGAGGACGTTGGGATGGATTTAGTTCGCTCAGATGTCTTCTCGGGAGAAGCAAACTCGAGACTCGATTCTCCTGGGACAACCAGTTTAGGTCAAGCTATTCCTGGTCAACGTCCGATCTCTGGTGTTCTACTCCTCCAATCCCCCAGCGCTCTCTCCAGTGGTCACTCGATAGCTTTAGGGTCTCAGCAACTTATGACCAATGGATCTTCCGTGCCATCCAGAGTAAGCGGTGAAGATATTATAATGAGTGGGACAACCGATAATGCCTCCGATTATTCCCAGAGTTCACCTGCTTTTCCACTTCAACAATGGCCACCCAACACAGCCATGGCCCCTTCGAGCATGTCTAACCGCGCTACTGGGATCAATTCTCAGCGATCTGCTTTCCAGGAAATACCAGATGACACATCTTTCAGTGCATTGATCAACAACGCTTCTCCAACAACCTCTGGAAAGAAAACATCAGATGCAACGACCTCAAAGAGATCATCGAATGCTTGGAGTACACATGCTACAAATGGGACTCGTCCAGGTGCTTTAAGTCCCATAGTTGGGCATAGACAAGATACCGATCTTCCGGAAACGCAGAAATTCTCACAGAATCAGAGCACACAGGGCACAAATCTTACAAATGTGGCCGAGGGCGAGAAAAGTAGTGGAGAAGAGTGGCTTCATTCACAAGCACATGCTCTTGCACGTGGTCATCTTGGTTTTCCATCCCAGACACCAAGCACACATAATTCGCAAGAAAGGCCACCGGTGCCACAATTTAATGCTCCTCCACGACCATCTGCGTCCAAAACTTCTGGTGATGTGGCGGATAATTCACTAGTTGAAGTTGATTCCACGCAGTCATCTTCACCAAAGGAATTCATTATGACGGAATATTTTGCGGCGGACCTACTGCGTTGTCTTACAGATGGATCAAGCGGTTGCTCGATTGAACAATTGGAACAGATAAATCGCGAATTAATGGACTACATGTGGAAGATGAGGGGGGAGTGGAACAGGAACACGATTTGTGTCAACTTAACCAACGTGTTCAATGAGACCATATCGGATATGGAGGAGATGCAGAAGGTTTTAAAGCCGAGTCAAGAACTACCGGACCCAGACTCGTAGACCCTGGATCATATGCGGTGAAGGTTTGGAAGCATCTGAGGCTGCTTTGACGTTTGAGCATGGCGTTAGATCGGGGTTTCTTTATTTAAATTGGCTGGACAAATGCTAGCATGGTCGGAGGTGTATTCCACTGTGTGGCCCGTAGGAAGTGAGAGCTCAAGTGTATTAATTCAGTATGATAGATGATTTTTATGCTAAGGTGTCTTGGTGTAAGATCTTTTTATTCGTAATTCATGATTAAGGTTTAGTAGCCGCAAGCCTTCGCTTCTAAGTTTTAGTTGTGATTCTCTCAGTAACCGTAGTGGCGAGGGGAGGGGTAAAAGGGAAGAATAAAGTAAATGCCATGGGGATAAATATTGAGTCCAAATGGCATTGTTGATTAGTGCCTGCCTCATTCTCTCTCTTCCGTGGAAGGAATAACGTTTGTCCGAAATTGGCTTACTCTAACTACAACTCACCCCACGACGACTACATCGCATCCAACACCCGCCAAATTATATTTGAAGTTACATCTATGATCCGCCGCAGAGTTATTGCTGCTTACATCTATATATTCACGTACGTGGGGCCAGCTAGGTATATGTATCAATTTGCGCAAGTGCCCAAGGACGTGTCTTTTGACTGTCTCACGATCGATCATCACATTCGGAAGAAAATGCATGGTTGAGTGCTGTGGAAGTTCTTTTGTATTGCTGTTTATACCCACCCATTTGTCAAGTCCTGAACCTTGATCGAAAGATCTTACTACCCTCATCCTAGCGTCACAGCTCATTATAGCTAGCCAGTTCCACCAATCCGAGTTTATTTCTTATACCAGGAGATTCTTGCCGAACGGGGACGATAGCTCTGCTCCTTCTCGCTTTGAACAGTCTCATCTACGATCTCTTTCATCTCTCCGAGAAGCTCGTCGACATATGGATCAGTGTCGAAATGCTTTCCACGGGCCTCCGGGGTTCCGTTTCCGATTCCATCGTCATAGATCTTGTAGCATTCTGCGAAGAAATTTTCAAACCTGGTATCATTCATTGCACTATGAGTGTATGAAGTCGGGTAGTAATTGCTGAACATTGTAGCATGCATGTTAAGAAGTCTTGGGAGCTTTTGACATGTTGCGGCAACATTCCAACTGTCATAAGTCTCGGGCCGGACGGAATAGTATAAAAAGAAATCTTTTTGGTCCTGAGGCGTCATGAGGAGACTTTTGAAAAGAGAAAAATCAAGTTCGGTGTTTCCGCAGTGACAAGCGTTATTTCGTTGATTAATGACATTTCGATCTGCTTGCCCTCGATATATCGTATCAACTTGTATAAATTTTCGGCAGATTTCAACTTGCTTGCCTGAATGGAACCATCCACGTCGGACCTTAGAACTATGCTCAGCAGCAATTCTGAGGTATCTCATATCTGTTTCATTTTGTCTCCGAATTCTAGCCTTTTCGGCGGCATACTGTTGTTCACACAAAGCCATCGTATAATTTGTCTCTTGCAACTGCCTTTGAAAATCCTGATTGGCTGTTTTCTCTATATCACACTCAACCGTCATATCCCTGAGCTCCGCTTGTAAGCGCTGTATCATAGCGTCTTTATCGGAGTTAGCGCGTGTTTGTTCAAAATCAGACTATTGCAATGTTTCGGGCAAAGGAACGGGCTGCATAAGCTCAATACCAAGAATGTTGGAAATGCTGAGGATGTTTTTCTAATACAAGATCGATTAGAATCCTTTCATAGACACGACTATGACTTATCTCACCTTCAGGTCCTGGATCAATTTTTCTTTCTTAGAAGCAGCGCGTGCTTTTTCGGCGGTGATGAATTCCTGCTCATTGAAACCAGATGTTGATGTTGGCCTCAAACTCTCAGAATCGATGTAGGGCGTAATTTGGTCATCAGCCTCGAACACACTCATGTATCTTTAAAAATGCTGCCACAGACGGTTAGTCAAGAATACAATTTGGGTGTATCAAATACAACACTCACCTCAAGAGCTATGGCAGATCTGTTGGGCTGAGTCTCGCGTTGAACCGAAAGCTTAACTTGTACGACTGACTCGATCTTATTCTCGGTCAGATCGAGCAACGCCAAAACCAATTTCGCTTGTTCAGTATTGAGATATGCGGCGCGATCTTTATCTTCGTCGGCAGGAGGACGCGCGGCGTAGTCGGGATCCATCTTTCGCTAGATGTGTTTTGATGCAAAGATACGCGCACCTTTGATGGCGGTGTAAGAGTTTTTGATTTGAGGAGCTCGTAACAAAGAAAGAAGAGGGTGAACTGTTGATCGAGGTGCGCATAGGAGAAACTTTCAACTTACAATGGCGAAGCGAGAGTGTTCAGCTGCGGCTATTTTTTCAGAAGCGAGGCACTTACTCTTGAGGGCAAGGCTGAGGACGTTCACTTTTTGGGACACTAGTTTAGTTCACGGTATGCTTGCAATGTACGGAGATGCTGGCATGCTCCTGATTGTTAGAAGCAGAATCACAAATACCTACAAGACATGGCATACTATTTGGAAATGTGGCTAGCATTGCGGTCTCACAACCAGACAGTCAAATTGAAAGAGAATTTTATATTACTGCAAAGTCTCGTATCTCATATAGAGAAGTACGTCATATGAAAGAGGTATGATTTTCTTATGCTCCAGATGATGCCTATATCCCATTATTTATTTCGTTCTGATTCACCCCTTCATTAACACTACTCAGAAAACGAAACTAACACAAGAACCAATGCCAGAATAAAACCAAAACTAAAACCATCTCTCTCCGAATAAATCAATAGTAATGAATTGAAATAGATAAATCCCACAATACCTACATGTGGAATTATCCCAACAAAATTCAGTTTAACTCAATGAAAATTCTCAAATCGCGACCTTATGCAAACGTTGGATATCCTGCGTGATTTCTGCCATTTCATTGAATACCTCGACCTCCTTTGCCCTGACCGCAGCGTCGAATATGCGGCCTTTGTCCTCAGAAGTCGGCGCATCAATTGCCTCAAATTCAAGCAGGCACTGTGCAAATTGAGTTTTGAATAAGGTGTCACGAGTCTTGGAGAGTGTCTTCTCCGTAAAAGAGCCACACTCCACAAGAATCGCGTGCATGTTCAGCATCTCATCGAGTTTATCGGATGCCTCATACACGTTACGGTATTCGCCAACAGAAACTCCATACATTTTAAGAAACATCTCGTAACTGATAACGGGGCCGGTAATAACATCTTTCTCAGATAAGACGATCGAGGCAAAGTGTGCATTGACGTGACCTCCGGTGGTGGCTATATTTCCCGCACGAACGATGGTTTTGTTAAATGAGAGGTGACTGTTGTTCAAAGCTATGTGAACACCATCACGCTTGACTTGTTTCATGCTCTCTGCGCTTCTCGCCAAAATCGGAAGTGCGATATCCTGGGCAATCTGTAAAAGTCGGGCCTTTTCTTCCTCTACCTTGGCTAAATCGTGTACTAGACGTCCACGCACATCATAAGACCCATCCAACGCGTTCTTGTATTCTCTGAGGGCTTCATTGGTAGAAGAAACCTTGGAAGAAAGTCGTTCAATTGTTTCCTTAGCGCTAGCTTGAAAGCTTTCAAATTCACCTTCCCATTTTCCAATCTGCTCCTGGGTGGTCTCAAGCTGTTCTTTCAGGATTTTGTTTTCTTCGATTGCCGCGAACTGATCGTCTGCTATGATGTGGCTGTCATCTGAAAACAAAAGGCCAAGTACGTTCGAGGATTCTTCTCTATTTTCCGTGATCCAAGAGGTATCTTGAGTTGTGTTGTATTCGACGGAACTACCATCGACTTGGTCATCAACTTCTTCCTGGTGAATGTCTGGTACAACCGATCTCTGATCGCTATCCTCTGAGATTGGAGAGGCTGGTAGAAGTAGTAGGTGACCTTCAGGATTGGCCTGTGAAATCTCGAACTTTTGTCTTTGGAAATCCTATAACATGGGATATGTGATGAGTAATTTTCATAGCAGAATAGAATATATGCTTACTTCTTTTTCTGATAGAAGTCTGGCCCTAGTATCCTGGGCAAGGTTGCGTTTAGTCCTTGTGTACAATTCTTTGCGCATCAACAGGTTTTCGTCTCGGCTAGTCTGATCAGGATGCTACCAAACATGTTAGTAATCCGTCTCGAAAAATAGCTACTATGCTAATCATTACTTACCCCAATAGACTCATCAACTACACCCATCAAGGAAAACCATAGGTCACATCTCTTCAGGACTCTATCATCTCGAAGACGGAACAATTCCCGATCAATTTCGCCTTCCTTTGCAATTAGTTTCTCAAAGAGGGCTTCCTGTGTGTCGGGCACAGCAAGGAAATCTTGAATCTGCATTTCTACTTTGGCATTCAGCTCCTTGAGGGAGTTTTGGTCGTCCTGAATTGTACTCTGAAGCTTTTGTACCTGTGCGCGCAGCTCTTCGACCTCAGCCTTGATTTTCTCTTCGGTAGCATTCTTATCTTCGAGCTCCGACTTTGTTCGTTCATGTCTGTTGATGAGGACAGAAATGGCCTTTTTAGACTCTTCGGTGATGTGTGAGCCGGAACTTTCGGTACTGGTCTTGCCGCGATTCGCGTTATGGCTGAGTAGGGCGAGTGGGTTCTGTGATAGGAGAAGGAGAGTGGTCAGCGTTCATGAATCCGGATTGACTTGACTTGCTTGATGAGAGATGAGATAATACTTACTCTGAGGTCTTCATGGATTGAAAACACTCTCTTCTTGTCCTTCCTATTGGTAGAAGACACGAGAGACGACATGATGTGAGAGTGTCACGTGGTAATTGAAATGAAGTTCCTGATGCTGAAGTGTTGATGTTGAAGTTTTGTTTTCTGATGGTTTGATGTCAGATATTTTTGAGAGAAGGTATTTCGTGCTGTTCGTTGATAGATCGATGGTTTAAATACCTAGGAGAAGGATACTCTACTGCCGTATTACTGGATGCTTTCAACTGCGGTTGTTACATTGCCGTACTGCACTTGCATTGCTGTACTGCACCATGGCTATACCTATCAATGTTCTCATCGGAGCATCAGTCGTATACATATAGCACGGCAAGGGAAGGCACTAGCACTTGATCAAATCATCCTTGGTTCCTTTTCATATTTTAATCGCGTTTGATTTTGCCTTTTGCTGTAACGCAAACTTAATGCTATGGGTTATCCGCAAGCTGCCCAGATATCCATTTTCCCTTTATTCTGTGCCATACCTGATAGACTGGTTCCCTGCAGCCGAATGAAGCTATCATATCATTCACGAAGTCACACGTTGACCTTGAATTCTTTGCCTCTCCATCCAGGTAGTATGTTTTGCAATTCTTCGCATTTGAACACACATGTCCTCAACATCTGGATCAGTGTCAAATGCCTTTTGCGCCTCTGCTGCCGATCCCAATCTCTCGCAAAGTTCTAGAAACACCTGTCCACTAAGTCCTCGGTAATATTCGAAAGAAATATCTTTACCCGAATCATGAGAGAGCTTAGTGAATGATAAACAGTATGCCATTGTGCCTCTCAAGTTTGCGATCTCGGTGTGTTTTGAGTTGAAGCGATACTTGCTGTATAGGCCCTGGGCTACTTCTTCTAACGTGACCCCATAAAGCGTCTCGAAAAGTCCTCTATATTTATTAAATTTGCCGTTGGGGTTCCTCATTATCAAGAAGACATGGACTCGAATATTGCCACTATATACAGCAGCTGATCCGAGATTGATGGCGTCAACATCCGTAGTTCTGCGGCCGCGGATCGCAGTAAATATTCCAAAATCATTGCGTCGGGTCGACAGGTTAAAGAAGCGTAGGCTGGTGGCGATGGCAAGAGCATTAATATCATAATTGGGATGCTCTTTGCTATACAATTCATACTCTAAGTCTTTGACTCTTGTAGATGCTTTGACGAGGTCTGATTGAACAGATAGAAGAGCATCATAATCCTTCTTAACATTCTGCAGCTGATCTCTGGTACTTCCAATTTCAAGTACTGGAGATTCGTTCTCACCCTGAACTTTTCTCAGTTCCTCTTTGGTCTTAGCGAGTTCGAGTTCAAGAAAGGTAATCCTATCGGAGGCAAGATTTGCCACCCAAGTATCACCGAAAGAAGATTCATTGTAGTTGATCATAGCATGGCTTTCATCATCCAGGTCGGAACCGAGGATTGTATTGATACTCTTCAAAATTCTCTGCACGACCATATATTGAGTCAGCAGCCAGTGCTATCTTTCATATCATCAGTTAGAAATCATACTTGCTTACCTTTCTCTGCTTTAATACGGCAGAACCCGTATCATCATTGTAAGCCGTGAGACCATCGACCTGCTCATTCACGAAATCCTCCCACGCATTGTCGATATTCTTCTGGTCATCTTCGGTACCCAAGGTCACCTCAATATCACCTTGAGAGACTTGGACTGGGCTCAAGAGTTTCTGACCAGCAACACATATGCTTTGAATGACCTGTATAACCATTAGAATTCTGTTCTTCAACTAAAGTATATGCAACCGATCTTACCTGGCGGATTTGATTGATGCCATTGTAGTAGCTCTCCTTCTTGGCTGCGACAATATCGAGCTTCTGCCTATGATCATGAGAAGCTTGAAGACGACTGATATCGAGATCTGCGAGTTGGGTGTGCAATTCAGAGAGCTGTTGGATTTCCCCCCCCAAGCTTGCGGAAGCCATATTAGCAGGGTTGTGAACCATCATTGTGATGGAGTTTTGGAGAAAGATCGGGAGGGGGATCGGGCTTATTTTTCTTGAGATGCGAGGATAATGGGATTAGCAAGTACTTCGCTTCTAGAACAGTTGCTCAATTGAATAGATTTCGGCTGCTCAACTTTGGATTGAAGGTGAATTTGTACAACGCGTTTGTGCGGTAAAGCAAAAATATCATGTTGCTCTCTGTGTATTCGCTTAAAGTCACGCATATGCGAGTATTACCTTTGATTCTATGGGATGAATCAAAACATTGGCTCTTCCCAGAAGTGAGAACCTGATCCACTGTAGTACTAATTCTTTCGACGTTTTTCCAGTTTATTGATATATTCTGTCTGCAACCTTTCGCATCGATACCAAGTTTTCTCCCACCTCAAGATCCAAGTCAAACGTTTTTACCAATTCGGAGTTTGTGGCCACTTTCAACCTAACATTCCACATATTTTGATTTTTCCATAGAGTTTGGAAAAATCGACGAACTAATATCGTGACTGGGCGACAAAGTTGAATTGGTGAACGAGAGATATAGTGCCATTGTACCACGTAAGTCTAATGCTTCTCTGACCTTACTAGATGATGAGAAAATTCCCGCTTTACCATCATCACTCGTATCGAAGTTGTAGATGGCGAATTGTAATATAATCCAATCGGTAAAGAGATGCATACATCGGCTGTCACATTTCCAAGATGGCAAGCAGCGTATCCTCTCTCGATAACTTTGTTATCAGTTTCTCTACAAATATTTGTGAATACGTCCCTCTTCCACATCCGGTAGACTCTTTTACCCTGTGCCTGATCCAGAGCACGAAGGCGTACCTCAACCTCAAATTAGGCTAAAATTTCAAGAAAAGGTCTTCCTCCTCGACTTCATGATATTTTGCTTTAAATTCTTCTGACTGTTGTCTCAGCTTTGCTTTCGTTTCTTTGCGAAATTGTGTGATATCTCTAGCTGGACGACTAATTGTGCTTCTAGGGTGTGAATCACTGCTTCAGGATGGCTGCCAATATGTTTGGTAAGAGAGATTGTCTGATATCACAAATTAAGAGGAACTCGAACCGAGAGGCTGGTATTGATACTTATGATGTTAGGGATCTGGAAGAAAGTGATGGAGACACGTTTTGTTAATATACCGGAAGCTAGATCAGGAAGGGAGAGAATTAGAATTACTATTTTCTTTACATTAAGTTGTACTAGCTTCAGAACCAGATTTCCTAGATTTGCTTTCAAATGACCCTCCCCATTTCCTGCCTCCTAATGATTGGTGAAAGCACTACTGAGTTAGGTAGGAACCACGAGGTCAAAATGGCTTGGACACAGCTATTATTCTAGCAAGTAGATCCTCGTTATTTATCAATACAAATCCGTGCTAAAATCAGTTCTAAGGAGCTCACACTTTTACTTAAACATTATTAGATGCCGAATTGCCGCAACTTCATTTTGGTAAATATGACGAAATTATCTCGATTAACAATCCATTTTTTTTAAAGAAAATACTCCCCCATATGAAATCATCCCTCGCTCAGTGTCTGCACCAATTTTATGACATGCCTAAATCTTTGCCTCGTAAAAGTCATCGCCAATCATCCTTGCCCTACATATGTGCCTGTATTTATCCACCCCCTTTGCCGGCTCCTACCCTTAGTCCTCCACCCCACCAATTCTCAAATAAATGTGCCATTGAGACCGCCACTCATATATGGATGATGCCTATCAATCTCAACTCTCTCAACAACAGCCTCGCAAATCTGACGCATGCTGTTGCAGGCTTCAATGACCTCCGGATTACTACTGAATGTTTTTGCTGCCTGGAGAGCCGTCGACGTTCTTCTGACCACATCCTCATATTCCGACTCACAATACTCCCAAAGCGTCAAGAATCTATCATCCGCATCCCTATCTGGCGTGTGTCCGCTGAAGCATCCCATGCGTGCCATTGTACCTCTCAAGCTCACCATCTCCGTCATCTTGCTTCGTCGTTCATATTTGCTACCGCAACCATTTACAACCTCATCGAGAGCCACTCCGTATATTTCCTCAAACGTTGAATCAAACTTCACCCGATGATGGGAATTAATGATGAGTAGCGCCGCATCGACTCGCACATTTCCCCAAAAGGATATACCTGCGCCAGAGCTCATAACTGCAGCTCCGAAATCGATATTGAGACTTGGTTGGCCACGCGAAGACATTCGGTATGGCGCGCGATGGTGGATGTTTGGATATTCGTGCGCCTTGCAACTTTGAAGGAATTTGAGACGGGTTTCAATGCCGATATCTCGGAGAATGTCGTGCGGTTCTCTGTCACGCTTGATTTTGGCCAACGAATATGATAGATTCTTGTTCTCCTCCCTCAGTCTATCGTTGTCGTCATCGTCAAAGGAAACTCGTCTAGGATTACCTCTTAGTTGGGTCTGTGCAGAGTCCAATGCGCGTTTAAGTCTTTGATTTTCCTCGGCGTATTTTCGGTTTGTCTGAACTTGCTCGTCTCTATTCTCTGCAATTTGTCTCATGAACTCCTGCGTTGATCTCAAAGAGTCGGAAAGGGCTTCATTGTTCTGAGTCAGCTTATCCTTTTCATACTCAAGGCTTCTGTAGTCCTCCGAAAGCTCTCTCAGCTGTCTCTTGAACAAAGCGAGTTCTTCCGACAGTCGAGAGTTTTCGCTCTCAAGCCTCTTGTCGGGCGATGGCTGTCGAAAAAATGTATGGTAGACGACACGTGTGGGGGTTATGTGGGAGTTGCTGGTTGGATCATTGAAGCAGGCAACAAAGTGATCATCACTTGAACCAAGACCAAGAATGCGGTTCTTTTTCTTCAATATCTCCTGTATACATCCATCAGCATGCTATCATCCGTGGAAAGATAAATGCAACTTACACTCATCCGCGCGCTAAAATCTTCCCGACTGCGCTTCCATTCAGCAATTTCCCTCTTCCTCTTTTCCTCGTACTTAGACGCATCATGCATAGAAATAGCCTTCCTCATTTCATGTGAAGATGTTCTAGGGCCCACCTTAATCGATCGTCTCTTGCCATGATTATCAATCGCCTTGAACTCGGCCGGCTCGGGAAGAGTGCTCGTATTTGCCGCGCTCTACATGATACGTCAGGTATACATTCCTAGATTGGAAAAAATAATTGATCAACATACCTTGATGAATACTTTCCATTTCTCAAAGCTGGCCTGCTTCTCATCGGCAATTTTCTCGAGTTCTATCTTCGATCGATAATGATTCTCGAGTAGTATCTTCTCGTGAGCAGCATATTGTCGGTTCAAGTCAGCAAGTCTGGATGTATCTTTCTCAAACTCCCTTTTGAGATGCCTATCGGGCTTCATGTCGGGCTTCATGATCTCGGAAGTAATTTTTTTGACAGATAGCTTGGCCTTGGTGGTTCTCAGTTGTTACTGTTTGTATTCAGGAATAAGTTTTGTTAAAAGGTTTTGAATTGATGATCGAAGTTGCCATGGGTTGTATTTATTTTCTTTTTAAGATATCAGCAATGGATTAAGGAGAAAAAGATCGGGTCTCTTAGATTGAAGTTATCGAAGATTACAATATATTTTTGGGGGGACCTCCCAGGAAAAGTATTGATCATATTAGGCCCGAGCTTTGCCCCACTACTCTTTACTGTAGTGAATCTCTATGATTCACACACTTTGTTACTTCTGACCAATTGCATTAATTACAATAATTAAAATCTACTCTGCTTTGTATTTACCACCTTGTATTGAATTGTTAATACTCTCAAATCTTGGTTGTACCTCGGAAGACAAATTTCGACTAAGGTCATATCTGTACTGACATGACTCATCACTAGTCTTCTGTAGCTTCCTATGAAAAAAAATGAAAACAATTAGATCAAGACACAAATGAGGAGTCCTTATTGGATCCACCATCTGTATTGCCACATAATTGAGATTGTGTCAAGCTTGAAATGCCATTGATAGACTTCAGCTAGTCATGAAAGTATTTACCCAATTTAAATAAACAAAAATGCCTGTGCTGCTGCCTACACAATCGACCAATCCTCGATCATAATTGATTGTGGATTCACTCGACACTAGTGATTAGCGAGGCCCCTTTCTTACCTCACTTCCCATTGAACACTCGGATCACAACATTGAGAATCAGGAACAAATATGTACATCCAGCAGTCTATAAATGTAAAAAAAACCAATCTCGACACAGTATGTTTCCCATCATTTGTAATTTTGGTAGTAACAATCTTCGTATGTGCTTGGAAAACGCAAACTCCATGTTCCAATTAGCTTTGAATGTAATCGCTAGATCGAGGAAAACTGACTAAAGAAGAGTTCGAGAGTAATTGATGACCAGGGAAGTGTTGAGATAGATAGATCGACGTCTTTGAACATCTATAGAATCAAATAATCAGTAAACTTCATAGGAATATTGCGAGGCGGGTGCGAGACTTACAGCAGAATTAAATAAACGAATCACTTCCTACTGAAGCCCCTCTGCCACGATGAGTCCTGGAAGGACCGGCGTGCCTCTTCCGGACTGGTGAATTCTGAGGAGGTCCATAACTGGTAGGTGTTTCAGGACTGACCGTATACGCCTGGGCACCTTGAAGTCGAGACTTTGTAATGATTAGAAATGCAAGCTCTCCCATTCTATTTAAATGGCGTGAGACATCCTCATTTATTTCAAATCCATCATCCCCCAATTCCAATAGCTTATCCCTGAGAAATTGCATGCTATCGCTGGCGGCTTGTCTGTCCCTAATTGACATAGCCCCATTATTCAAAGCATAAAGTGAAATAATGCTGCCCTGGTAATCGATAGCTTGAAGCATCTTGGGAGGCAGATTACCATAGTGCTGAGGAGATATGTTGTCATAGATGAGACCAAAAACACCTTCTAGTTGTGTCTTTTCCCCATCCTCGAGAAAGTTTCCGGTGAAGATGGCAGCATCCACGGCCCCATATGCCCTATGAGCTGCATCGTTCCCTCTTCGAATAAACTCGGCATTATATTTTGCTGGACTCAGGCCCATGACCTGTGACTTAGCTTGCTCAAGATATCGAATTCGCACAGCAGCGCCAATGCGCGCCAAGATATTTGTCTTCTCCTCTTGTGCTTCCATTTCCATCTTCATAGCCCTCACTTCTTGCTTCAGAGCCTTGCGCTCAGCCTCGACAAATTTACAATGCTCATCTGCATCTTCCAGTTGCTGTTTATTTTCCTTAATTTCTTGATCTTGTTCAAATATACGAGCCTCTAGCTGCTGACATCTTTCTATCCAATATGATGAGTTCATCTTGCGGTATGCGACTAAAAAATTCGATCCTTATCTGATAGGATCGCGAAAGTCGTGGCGCTATAGGCTGGTGAATTTCCAAGCTAATTAAAAGAACAATTATGAAGGGTAAGTTGAAGTAGAACGGTTGAAGTTGAAGTTGAACGGTGACGGTGACGGTGACGGTGCGCAAAAATAACCCGCAATCCACGGGTACCTGTGGGTAATCCGCCCTGTAGACCGTTATCTAACAGAGCTATTAGCTACCTGTCAATGACAATGAATCAGAAATTTTAGGCTTTCAGAATAACCCGACCTGTGGGTATATACGGGTTAGTGGGTTATCCACGAATTGATGGAATATGATAGGTTTTAACTTATGAATTTAAGTGGATTGTGGATCTCACAAATAACCCGTGGGTAACCTATTCAGGTTTACAATAACCCGCCCGCTGGCGGGTGACCTGCGGGTTATCCATTAGATCAATAACCCGCCCCCGTTGCGCAGCCCCTGGTCCTGAGTAACGGAACTTTGTTGGGTCTAGAAACTCGTCTTGAATGTGTATGAACATCAAATTACAAGTCATGTTGGGCAAATTTGAGAATTCAAAATAGCAGTTGGGGACCTCTCACTGTACGGCAGCTGTACGACCGTAACCTATATTTTCATTATCTTCCAAGTATTGACCATGCCTTAGCTCCAGCTTATACATTGTGTATTCTCTTCTTCTCTTATAAGCAATCAGACATCGCGTCCGCCAAAGAGCAAAGAGCTTTCCATCTTTAATTTTCGATCTGCCTTTTGTTCTAACCCGCAAATCGCACCTACCCTTGAACCACCTTCAGAAGCTTCTAAAATCATATACACCGATATTTCATTATGCTTCTCCAGTGATGATTACATCAAATATTAATCACGTTTGGCTGGTAGACTTATTCCCCTCGCCGTCGTCTCGGAACTATGGATGTCCAGATGTCTAGTTCGTCGTTTAAGTCTTTCTTCAACTGCATGCTTCATACGGGTATCCAGATAGGACGAGAGTTGACCAGAAAGCTGTCTCGCCTCCATATCTTTGACCGCATCCATCATGGGCTCCCGGGGCTTCTTGTCACCCTCGAGAGCTTCCAGTCGCTGTTCGAGCCGAGCGATCAAAACTTGGTTCTTCCTTTCTTCATCAACGAGCTCCTTTGAGGGTGGGATGGTTTGCGTAGGATGCTGAGGGTATGGTGAGAATTGATTAGCTTGTGCCGCACGATGATGCAATTCATGGTACATCATGGGAGGTGAGTTAGCCTGTGTCGGAAGCTGAGAGTATGGATAGAAAAACTGGGGAGCTTGTTCTGGATACCAAGAGAGTGATGTGAACTGGGAAGCCTGTGCCCAATATTGAGGGTATGGTGAGAAGAAGTCGGGAGCTTGTGCCTGATACCAATAGTGTGATGTGGACTGAAGAGCCTGTGCCAAGTATTGAGGGTATGGTGAGCGTGTAGCTTGTGCTGAGTATAGAATATATGCTGGCTGATGTGTAGCTTGTACCGGATGTTGAGGCAGTTCATGAAGAAAAATGGGATCGTTGTTTGGGATACGGCGACCGCTTTAATTCTCACGATGGCGTGGTCGCTTTCTCTTAGTCTTTGGGACATCATCCTCACAATAATCTTCACAGTCTTCATTGTCAGAATTAACTCTGTTTTCAATCCGAGGACGTTTCCCCTTGCCGTCCGTACTGTGCAATCGTTAGTAACATTCATTCAACCAAATCTTGCATAAAGAACTGACTTTGAATTTGCAATTGATTCCATAGTTCCGTTCATGGTTCCTGCTAATGAAGAGACACGGTCATCCTGTACCAATACGAGATCAGTAGTTTTGCAACCGCATTGAGCAATGAATCTAAAAGATTCTCTATTGTTCACTTGAATGCCGATGTAGGAACTTACGTAGTACTGAACGCCTTCAATTGACCCAGATCTCCATATACCGAGTTCAATTGATTGAAATGAAAAGTAGAGAAGATGTAGGTGATGAAGGAATATCTAGATACTAACTTATAAAAGCGCTAATTATCTGTCGGACTAGCAGCCAATAATAATCTAGTGAAATCGGATTACTGTTGTGGGAAGGTAACCGGGTCCTTTGGACAGTGCGTGAATAAAGCGCTGGCGAATGCTCTTGCCGGTGTAAGAATATGTCTGAAGAAGAGATGAAAGGGAAGGCACGATCTGTGATATGTAACTTTTTGACCTGCAGTCAAATTATCGCTTACGTAATCTGCACATACTACTGGTCGAGTAACTATATTGGACATTTTTCGAGTATGAGAGCTACGTGAAGGGTGAAACACGCAAGCGAGGGTAGTCAGATGAGTGGTGCGAGGGTGATTGGTGTGGGGTCTCAAGAAAAAAGGTAAAAGAGATATTGAGGGCGGGTTTCTGACAAGTCATTTGGAGAGTAAGTTTTGTTACAGTAGATTGTCACGGGAAGCATATATGGTTGTAAAGGTAATTTATAGTATCACATGAAGGAGGAAGAGAATCGCTACATAATAGCTCTTCATTTCGCTTCCAGTTAGCTGTTTAATGGAAGATAGGAGACAGTGTCGAGAAGCTTCTTTTGCCTCTCGCTTCACTTTCTTAGGGAAAATTCAAGAAATTAGAAAGGTTTGATAGATTAGACAGAGTAGAGATGTAAATCGGTCACTAAGAAAAGGAAAATGGGATTGCTCACTTGATATTGAAAGGGTCAGTTTGAGAATATTGGAAAGATACTATGTTTGGTGATTTGTTTTTGAATTGAATTTCACTCACCCAAGCACTCAAATTCCCTAAAGTCCAGCTTCAGGATGAATTTTCGCTCTCACCACTCACTCTCAGCGCTTGCCGGTGTTGTCTTTCTTGTTGTTTGATTGATCGAGCTTGATGGGGATATTCTCAGATTCTGGAGCCGCTGGTTTTTTGGCTGCTTTGGGACTTCGAAGAGGGGAGTTTGGAGCAAACCAGTACTCCTGACCGGGACGGATTTCGGAAATTGTGAGATTGACTGGCTTTTTGCTTGACGGCATGATGGAAAAAACTGGAGCTGCGAGACTTGAAGGTCTCGACGTGTTGCTTTGAATATTTTTCTTGTGTGTGCGAGGTGAAGCTGGCATTGTTGATGTTTTTTCTGAGTGATGGTGATGTGAGGTGTGAATGGTACATTCTTCAAAAATACACTCGATTGAGTTAAATTGTTTGAGTACGATTCAGAGATTGGTAACAATGTCATTGTAAATCAGTCTTTATTAAGTACTATGCAACAATGCTTTTGGTTTCAACAAGGGGATTGTATGCCGGCCTTTGTTGGGCTTTGCACAGGGCAAACAAAGAAAATCCTGAAATAGTGAATATGTAGTCATCCCAAGCAATTCTTTCAGTCTGACCAGTAGTATATACAAATATAATTGTTAGAATTGTAGTATCAAAAATTGAATAGACAGAACACTACTTTGTTATTCTAACAAAAGCTGTTCACTCACACAGAAGGAAAGATATCAAAACACTCACCCCGAAGTGTATTCCCACCAATCCGCATCACAGTTCAGAATATAATTTAAGAAAAGTGTCGTAGAAATTTATGAAATTGGGAGAATAAGATTAGAAAAACTCGCTTCCCCGTTTTCTCCTTTATTCAACTACGAGTAAAGCATAATAATCTATGCAAATGACATGGCTAATAATTGAAATTTAGCACTTTTCTATTATTATTGCTCTTTGCAAGATCGCGTAGTACCAGAGAACAATTGAAGCAAAGTACAGAGTGAGCATAAGCATTATATTCGTGACATATATGTCACGTGATATTGAACACCGCCCGCCTCTAATTTGGATAGTTCCAAGGTCTACTTAGGATTCTTTGCGCAAAACCCTCTCTGATTTTTCCGTCTGCTTTGCAGATTAGGAAACTCACCGAAGTCAGCTGAGGACAACAACAATGAAAGATGCTAGAAACAAATGTCATTTGGCAGATCATGAAAATTGGGTCATAAATTAATAATAATATTGTGTTGCATTGAAGATGGAATTGCTATTAGACATTACAAGCCGTATATCTAAAGCTTATAACTTGAATTGTATTAATTGTGGGATTGCTATTAGATTGATTAACATCTGGATTTATTTGAGCGGAGAAGCTGCTATGTAAATCGATATCCTCGAGGTCTCTACGCGTACGTAAGATGTGAGTTTGAGGGATCCTGAGACTGGGTATTTTTCATATAGGGCTTTGGTCCACCTCCGTGGACTTCTGGTTCACATCGCGTATGGCGGGGTTCTCCCTAGAATGGCACCTTTTGTGCATCAATATACATTGTCAGTAATGCGGAGGAGGTGCTATTTACAGTTTGGACTAGGAATTGCCAAATCAATGTCTGAATCTCTGGTGCGATGTCGGCAAATAAGGTGGAAACACTTGGGTGCATGCGAACTTGAACACTGTTTGGCTAGAAGCTTTGAGGACAAGAGTTCGTCGCCAATCGGGAAGAATGTTGAATATGGAGAGGGCAGTCTGCACAGGGCTAAGACCGCATCTGCTTTCCCATTCCTTGATTTTTCCTTCAAGAGCTGGTTTGGGTAATGATTGGGGTATCAGACTGTAACACCGATCAGGAAGGATGTCGAACATCAAGAGAGTGTAAGACTGCAAAATATTGAGTGCGACTCTATTTTCCCATTGGTTGATTGAGGCGCGGACCCAACCTGGACTCTTTGGAGGTTGATTATTTAACTACATGATCTTGATATTCCAAGAGTAGATCATTGACGGCAAATTTTATTGAAACCGAATAGTTTCCAATGTACAAGAGATACCACCCATTGTAATTAATAGTCAACCAGTTGAACTACTGCACTGATTAAACTGGCAGTTTGGGTTTAGTAAATCCAAATTGCTAATCGGTTCAATTTAGTGGGTTGAAACTGCTAATTTGACTAATCTGTTCCGGGCCATACCACAATATCCTTATTGTGAAATGCTTTACATATATTGCAAAATGAGCTAGCTTATAAGACAATATTCTAGCTCATTGCCCAATAAACTAGATTTCAGAATAAGCTAGCTTATTGTCCAATAAGCTAAGTTTATACAATTTATAAAAACATTCCAAAATGAATTAAATTTATTTGTAAATACTTTAAGGATTTATCCTACTATATGTAACG